AAATCAAAAGTAACGGTTGACAACAAGCAAACGTAAATTTTGACAATCATGTACAACTCTTCTTCTGGAAATGCCATATTTGTGTCCTATTTCGATTTTTTTAAATGTATTTTTTGGGTACCAAACATGCATGGGAGGTATATTTTAAATTTATAAACAAGATTTTATACATCTTTCATTATTAGAAACTGATAATTACTTGGGTGGGGTTTTTTAAACACGGCAGATCATATCAGTTTTAGCTAAAATACTAATTGCGGATTAAATTCCTGGAATTCAACATTCACTATACTTGACGTTCTGGTTGGTTAATCAATAATAATGATGATGTATGAATGATGAATGAACAATAATTATGAATGATGTAGGCAAGATTTGAGAAATTTAGCATGTAAGACTATTCAAAAATGCTGCATCTGCTGAAGACCATTCGATGATCATTTGATGACCCTAATCGTATTTTATTGGACCATCTGAAGTTACTAGGGCATCTTGAAGAATCCATTTGTGTGTTTACAATTTGTGAATTGTTTACTTCCTAGAACGAGATTGATTTCGTCCTAACGGGCTAATTCGAGTCGGAGCAGCGTAAACAATCCGAACCGCATGAATATTCAACAGGGTGGAGCTCAAGGCAAAGCTGGTTTTTCTTCAGCGTCGTCCGGTCAGAAATCGACTCCGGCGGATAAGACGATTTGGGCAACTCCAGCTTATCCGCCCTTCTGTTGAGCATGCCCACGTTCCGCCCCTGTCAAAAATCCGCCCGCCGTCCGATCCTCGGCCCTTTGTGCAACCGGAGAAACGGATTAACGCGAGCTCGTAGGCCGAAATAGGCGGGCCAGGACTTTTAATCACAGGGAATTCTTTCTTTACGAGATACAAAAAAATAGGACGAATATCATTTTAGAGCTTGATGTTAAAAACCAAAACTTGACCTCTTGATTTGACAACTTGGAAATGGGACATCAGACGATTATTGAAGCCGAGGATGACTTCTTAGCGTGCATCATTTACACTAAATACTTCTGATCCCTTATAATCGTGTCAGCATTCTATGACACGTCAGACAAGTAATACGATGAAGTAATTAAGGGAATGTTTGTTGTGCACGATGCTATCGGTTAATTAAATGGTTGAAATTTAGTATACAGGGTGTTCGGCGACTCGTGTTACAAACTTTGACCGTAGATTCTAAATTCATAATGGAACCAAAAAGTCCTGATTAATGGTCCGAATTGCAGCAGTTTCGGAGCTATTCCACATTTTCTGATTTTTTCATATTTCACGTCCTTGCTTAAAATAAACAATGATAACGCCAAAACTAAAAGGTTTTGGACAAATCCGTTGATACCATTTCAAACTACGTTAAATTTCCAATAAGATGTGATCAATAATAAACTTGTTAACTTTGTGAAGTAAGGGTTTTAGTAGCGACAACTTTGAAAAATATTTTTTTTAACGTTGAAAAACATACTATCGTGATTCTAAACTACTATTTCCAAACCTAGAGACCAGAAAATTTCAGAAAACGTATTTCATTTAATATCCTTTTTAGTGGTGCAATTTCTTTTTTAATTACTTTTTTCAAAGATGAAGAAATTGATGAAGGAAAAGAAAAAACCGTGGTTGAAGGATTGGTCAAGTGGAAATAATAAAGGGGTAGTCAAGTAATAATAAAAAATAAAAAAATTAAGGAAATTTTGAATGTATTTATTAAAAGTTTAGTTACTGTTAATTTAGAATGTGAATAAAGAGAACTTTTTCACAACATTTAAGACCGAGTTTGGAATATTAAATCCCAACCTTTTATTGTATATCCTATTACCTCGAATCCTTCTTAGTAAATTTCGTTCCCGGTAATAATCATTTTTAATTTTCCTGACTTTGCTGCGAAATAGGTCGATAGATGAAGGGAGAAAGAAAGAGAGAGAGAAAGGGAATGAATGAATGTAGTTTTATTTAAAAAATTCGTAAATTTAGGTTGCGAGAGGAAGAGAGAGAGAGCGAGAGAGATAGAGCGAAGGAGAAAATAATACACAGCATAAAAAGATAGAACTACTTAAATACATAAATAGATAGGGGAATTGAATACATACATTATTTATGTATGTAAAAGTAAGTTAAATTGGATTTGACTCTGATTATCACAGAATTTTTTTCTATACAATTGACCGTTATATTTAACATATGACCATCCCAAAAAAATTTAATGAATTCCAAAAAAAGTACAAGTTTTTATGTTGTTTTTGTTAATTTAATAGCTCTATCCGGTTGGCCAGTTAGTGTGTAAACGGGTGTTTTTCTTAATAGGAACGAAAAAGTTTAAAATAAAACTAAATAGAGTTTAATTTGGAGTATAAACTGTCAGGAAGTAACTAGAACAAAAATCTAATCTTCTTCTCGTTTTACCCACTTAATACCTGAGTAATTCTAATTTATTTCATTCCCCTAATTGGTGCAATCATTTTTTTAAAGAGTTTTTTTAAGGGATAATGGATTACTTTTTCTCTTTTATTTTTATTAGAAGGTAGCCGTTTTACCCTTAATATACAGACGCCGACTCTCAAAAAAAGACTTTTTAAGCGATTTATTTACATCGAATTATTTTGATAGATGTCGTTTTTTTTCTCAAAGTCCAGTAGCCTAATGGCCAGCAAGTATGATAAATTATCTTAACTCAAACTAGTTGAAATAATTGAAACTATGCGAGTTAATTATTTTAAAGTCACCCCTCATGTTTATTTATGCGCTCCGGACCCATCAGTCATCGTTGAAGCCACCACTTGATCCACGACTTGACAAACACTTTCAATCCTCCTTTAACGACAAGTGCAAGGACCTAACTGTTTGGACAATGTCATTTTATTAAATCTTTGAATCAATGCAAAGCGAGGAAAGGGGGAGAGAGAGAGAGAGAGAGAGAGAGAGAGAGAGAGAGAGAGAGAGTGATTTAAAAGAGAAGAGAAAAGGAGAGAGAGAAAGAAATTAGGAAGAGAAGCAAAGGGATTGTGAGAGTCACGAACAGGTGATGAGCGAGAAACAGAAAAAGAAGTGTTACCTAATCAGATAAATAGAGAGAAGGGAAGAAACAGACTAGAGAAAAACAAACTGAGAGCCAAGGACAGATACAGAGGGAGAGCGAGAGATAGCAAGATAGAGGGTGAGATAGGAAGATAAATAAAATGAGGGAAAGAAACGGGCAGCAGAAAACAAACAGAGAAGCCGGGACTGAAAAAGATAGAGTGTGATATAGGTAGACCAATTACTAAAAAGAAGTAGAGAAGCAGACAAGCACACAAACAAACTTAGAGACAGGGCAGAAATAGAGGTAGAGCAAGAGACAGAAGTTAAACCGATTAATAAGAGAAATAAACAAAAATACGGGGGAGATTGGAATAGACAGATAAATAAAGCGGGCGGGTGAGAAACACGCTGACAGAATGAGTGACAGAAACGGGGGGAGAACAAGTAAGAGGTATAGAAGGGGACAAACGTAGCAAAAAAAGAATATTTACTGATTGATCGCTTTATAGACAGAGATAAAAAGATAAATAAATAGAGTGATAGATATAGATAACTAGATAGATAGATAGATAGATAGATAGATAGATAGAGAGAGAGAAAGAGAGAGAGAGAGAGAGAGAGAGAGAGAGAGAGAGAGAGAGAGAGACGAAAAGCCAGAGAGAGAAGCAAAGGGACTGCGTGAGCCAGGAGCACACAGATAAGTAGATTGAGAAACAACAGAACAGATAAGTAAAGATTGAGAGAGATACAGATATAAAGATAAAGAGAGAAATAAACAGACAGTGAGAGAGAACAGAGGTTGGTTAGTGCATTTTATTTACACCAATTGTATTAGCGTAAACAAATCTTTGGCGCGGATCTAGTGATCGCATCACAAATTGAAAAATATTGGTACCTTTTTTATAAGGAATGATAAACTATGAGTATATACTGGAATAATAATACGAAGTAGTTTTATCTTTGACTATTTATAATAAATTGTTTAATTGTTCCCTGAAAACCAAGCATGATTTATAGCGTTTTTATGAGCATGATCACTAATTTTTCTGTCTGGTTTCCAATTTGAACGTAACATCTCGTCTGCCTTCTCCCACGGTACTTCATTTTGAAGATCCAGCCATCAACCTATTAACTATACTAACAATCATGTCGGAAGATGCACTTAGTTATAACGACAACTCGATTAGGGTCAACCGGTGGAAGACGGTTCTTTTATGTTTATTGATGAACCATCATCAATATTTATAGGTGGGGAATACGACCACCCCTTTACGGGTTTTTAATGGTCAGAAGTTGTTCTCGTAACAGTTTTTTCAAACATGGGAAGAATATAGCATCTAATGTAAAATCGTGTAAACAATTCCAGAACAGCTGTTGTAAAAGAAAGCTGCTTCAAAAACTGTCTCTATTTTCCCTCAGGGGACACAAAAAAACACCATATTTTTTTTTTACTTATTCATCCTCCCTTATAAATAAAATTACTGGCGAGTCCCATGGAGTTCGTGATCCTCGTGTTTATTATACTCCTTTTAGTCGGTTACTATCTCATAATAGTCCCGATGGGAAAAGATTAATTGGTAAAAAGGTGTGGACAAAATGGGGTCGGTGGTGATTGAAATGAGGGCGAATACTTTGGAGTAGAATCGTATGGCTTTGATCACGCTTCCGATCATCTACATATAACGGGCTCGACGGTCTTGCGTAGGCGTCGGATTATTTTTTTCTTTTTCTTATTTTCTCCCCTGTGCTGGTTAATAAATGACCCATTAAGGGCATATACCCAGTGCCATATATCACCGCTTTCTTTACCAGCCCACGCGACCTGGCTACTGACGCGGGAAAAATTATAACCGGCCTCTGCTATAAAATTAAGAAAAATAATGATATTCTGTATTTCAGAACCCTTAAATGTATGAGCAAAGATTTAAAAAAGTATTTTCTGTATTTATTTATTTATTATATCCTATTTTCCGTAGGTAAAACTTGAAAAAGATGAAAGGAAGCTACCTCTGGGAGAATACGAAAGCTATGTCCACAAGCAGTCTCACTGGTTCTCCAGGTTGACATTCTTCTGGCTGACGCCGCTTCTTAGGATCGGTTACACAAATCCTCTCGAACCGGAAGATCTCGGAAAGCTTCCTCTGGAAGAATCTGCCGCCGAGCAGTACCAGAATTTTCTAGATTCTTATCAGAAGATCAAGGTATAAGAAATATTTTACAATTTTCCTAGCCTCAGAAGCAATTCAACAACATCTGAACCTCATTACCCACTGGTGCAATCGATGGCTGATTAGGTTGAACGAGTAAAAAGCCAACAAGTTACGTTTACGCTCAAACCTCAAACCTGTCCACCAACGCACATTTACAACAAGTTAATACCACCATCGAACCAAGTTCGCTACCTTAGGCTTTACTTAGAAAACAGACATACATGGAATCCACACACAAGATTAAAATGACAAGATCTTAATAGAAGATATGGACTTCTCAATTACCTACTCGTACCAAAATCAACACTAAGCATACATAACAAACTAACCGCTTACAAAACACTCATTAGAGCTATTTGGACTTACGGAGACGAACTGTGGGGCTCGGCCAAATCATCCAACAGCCAACGAAGTCAATATTTTCAATCTAAAGTTCTTCTAACCAATCAACAAAAAAAAAAAAAAAATAAAATAATAATAATAAATAAAAGAATTAATAGAAGAAGTGAAAGATTTTTATCCGAACATGCTTCCTCAATTTCCACTCTAAACTATCCCTCCACCCTAACCCATAAACCCTAATTCTTTCCTCAACGTCTCATCCGTACAATCCTCCACGCTGTTTAAAACGGCAATAGCCATGACCTACCTTAACACACCCAATAAAATAAAAGAGAGTTCCAGCACTGGTTTCTCTCCCCACTGCCTCTACATCTGGCAGATCTGTGATATTTGTATATAACTACTATTTGCTCAATGTATATTTTGTGAAGATAGCAATAAATAAAATAAATAAGTAAGTAAAAATTTTCCTTTTAGAATATACATTTTCTTGTTTTAGAATGCAAGGGGTGTCGCTTCCCTCTGGAAATGTTATTTCCACTGCTACTGGAAGAATTTCTTCGTAGGCGGCCTCCTGAAGCTCATCGGAGATTTCGTCGGCCTTATCGCCCCCCTAGGTATCGCCGTCGTCATAGATTACGTCGCCTCGTACCAACAGCCTGCCTCTCAAGCCCCAAGTATCACCCAAGTAAGTCACCCGACTTACTTTCAAAAGAACACCTCACGAGATACAATTTCCCAGGAGGACTTCGTCTCGGTGAACGTTTTCCTCAAAAACGGTTACGTCATGAGTATCGTGATATTCGTGAGCGCGATCGCCCAGGCCAGTTTCTCCCAGGCCAGCACGCACATAATCAACGTCGAGGGCATACGGTTGAAAACGGCGTTACAGGTGAATCTTATCCATTCTTCTTTTATGCTATTCACTGAACAAGATTTCTTAGGGGATGATTTATGCAAAAACGCTAAAGTTGAGCATATCGAACAAGGACGACGAATCTTCAACTTCGGATAGTAAATACGGAACGACGACCAATCTAATGTCAGAGGACACTTTTAACATCATGACTTGCTTTTGGATCGGCCACTACATTTGGGCTATACCCTTGAAGGTAAACCATTTCATTTTTATTATGACTAATCTTCAAAAATAAAAATTGATATACTATGAATGAGTATTCATAATCGTCCTTATTCCTTCATAGTGAGCTCTTCATAAATTGACCAACCTTTGATGATACATATATTTAATAAGAAAGCGAAGGTAAAATGAAATTCCTAAGTAACATTAGGTTTATCGAGCATCCAGTCCAACGACAGTCGGGATATGCGGGGGAAGGGTTTCATGACTAAAAGACGTTATGAAGAGTTATGTATTAGGAGGAACTCATCTCATTGCGATCTTATCGTTGATAGTGACCAATATCGGTTTATTGTTTATTTCCATTATTATCTAAAACTCTTAATTTAGCTTAAGGATTTTAACAGACCCAAAAGCTTTTTGTTAAGGGCTTCTATGTGTCCAGGCCTTGATATTCCTCTCCCAGGAGTAGGAATCCCAGCTTGCACAAGCCTACACAAAAAGAGGACATGTTACGCTATTTCTTCTTCTTTCTGGAGGAATAGGACTATTTGTACAAGCGTGTTCGTGCTACTACGAGTACTCACATTAGTTAGATCTACTATCATTCTAATACTTAGATAGTTGTTGCGTTTCTGCGTGTCCTTACTAGATTTTTCAGGCCTCTATCTTGGGAATTGTCAAAATGTTTTTCTAAACCTACGTCACACCAGAACGCATCTCACGAACTCCAAATAATCTTCTGAAAGATTTGATCTTATCAATAATCATCTCTTTTTTAATCTCATCCATGGAAAAATAATAACGTTTTTATCTGCCCTTTCAGATATCGGTTTTAATGTACCTGCTATACTGTCAACTAGGACTGAGCGCGATAATAGGTGCATTATTTTGTATAATAACTATGACCCCTCTGCAATTCCTAATCGGAAAGAAGATGTCCGACAATTCGAAGATAATCTCCGTAAGTTTTCCTTGCCTATTTTCCGAACAGGAGTTGAAATAATCAACGTTTCAGAACCTCTGCGACGAGAGGTTGAGGATGACGAATGAGATGCTTCAGGGGATCAAAGTGTTGAAGCTCTGCGGCTGGGAGCTTCAGTTTTACTTGCGTATCATGTCGGCGAGGAACAACGAACTGCGGTATCTCAACAAAGACTCCTTGTTCTGGGCGTTAATGAGTAAGTTAAAATTGTTCAAAAATGGATTAAATAATTTAAAATGGATTTTTTTGTAGCGTTTTTCACCCACACGTCGTCATCGCTAATCACTCTAGTCACTCTCGGAGCTTATTATTACCTCGAAGGGACAAACTTATCGGTTTCGAGCGTCTTCTCGGCCCTTGCGCTTTTCAACCAACTGACTGTTCCTCTTTTCATTTTCCCAATTACCGTACCGATAATAATTAGCGCATTGGTAGTTATAATAATTGAGTTTTATTTTTAGCTTGTTTATTAATTCGAACAAATTTTAGACAAGTACGCAAAGGCTCGAGGACTTTTTGGCCCTTCCGGAATCGACCAGTTACTCGCCGTTGGACGTTTCAAGCCACGTTCTGAAACCTGGCAAAACCCAACATGTAATATACAAAATTTTATAGAAAAAATATATTGTTTATCGAACAATTGAAAATTGCCGACAGACGGAAAAGGACAGACTTTTTGGCCTCGGGGGTATATCTGAAGAGGCCGACGACAAGAACTACGACGACGATCTCCGTGACGAAGAAGACAGGTCGAAGGAGGAGAACGCGTGCATTTTGCGAGAAGCCGGATTTTCTTGGTGCGATCAGGAGAAGCCTGGCCTCTGGATCAACAACCTCAACATCCCAAAAGGTAAAATTTGAAATCGGCCCGGCCACGACGGAAGAAACAACTCGCCAACCTTCCAAAATCACTTTGTTTCAATTAAACAGTTTGTCAATTGTTTGAATGATTTTCTTTTTATATTATGTACTAAACTATAATAGTAAAATATACTAATATAATAGTAAAATATATTATATGTATTCAGACTTCTCTGAAGGAGATAACATTCGGTTTTAATTTTCGGATATAAATTATTATAATTAAACAAGAATTACATCAGAGTAAACCTAGTGGGACCAATAGCCCTTGTTCATTCCTTTTACGTTCATCATTTAGCAGATTTCCTTATTATGTATTTCATATAGTTGAAAATAGAAGACAAAACGTCTGCCAAGTTGGTGGGCAGTGTAGCTCTCACATTTGTGCATGAGCATGTTATAAGTCCGTTTGAAATAAAATTCATAGAGGATCATCTAGAAACTAGAACAATCTCTGAAAATTTATAAAAATTGGTCTCATAGTTTCGGATTTTTGCGGATTACAAGTAATTGACCAAAGATAGACAGACGAACACGGAACTAAATTTGTTCAGAAAGGTCTGAAACGCAAAATGCTAGTGAAAATTTTTACATTGGAGGACAAAATTTTTTTCTCTTCCCGCATGAATACAAGACTTCCCTATACTCGGTATTCGGAAGCAAAATGAAGTATAGTTCTCTTTTCATAATTTGGCATCATCAGCATGATACCATTTATCGTTTTTGCTCTTTGCCGCAAAGGCTCCTAAATCATTGATTTTCAGATAGATCCAATTAAAGCGAAATCGAAACTTCTCCATATACAAAAAAAAATAAATAAATAAAATAAAAATAAAAATAAAAATAGTAAGCATTATACAAAGACACATTCGCGGAATTTAGAACACTGTCGACAGTAATAAATCTACTGAATTATACCACTCAAAAGTACAAAAAATCAGAAAAATAAAATGAAGGTGCAAAACTAACGAAGAAAGTAAAGTGATATTAAAGTGGGGGTAAAGCAGTGCGATCTTTTTAGCCCGCTGTTATTTAATCCTTATTGTGTGCTCGTAAAAATGGAAAAATATACCTGTATTAAAATAAATCAAAAAATGGTCTAAGTCGCCTGACCATGCCAATAAAACTTTTAATAATCAATACATGTAGACCAAGACCTTAGATTAAAAGTATAATTAATTAAAACTTTTAATAACATATATGCTAATAATAATTCTATCGTGTTTATAATGTTTAAGGAAAGAACATAATCTGAACGGTGAATTGAATTTTCTAAAACTCTGGGTCAACATAGGATTTGTTGTCTGACAAACATAACTTATTTTCGTGAGATTTCATCCTGTTGTCAGCGGGATGATGAACCTGTAATTTATCCTTACCGATCATCTTGGCCTGCCTATCCTCGCTGGGTTGGCTGTCAGATGCGTTTCGGCATTTCGTCACCTTCAGTGAGTCGTGGAGTTCTGTTCACTCAAATCTGTTTTATAGGGTCGTTCGGGTGGGAGTTAGGTGCGCGTATTTGTTTTTTCCTTTTTTTTTTAATTTTCCTGTGCTTTTGATAGTATTTGTTTAAATGTTCGATGTGTACTTTGCTTCCGAACTACCGAAGGTAGGGAAGCCTTGTATTCATGCAGGAAGTCGAAGAAATGTTTGTCTTCCAACTTTTCAAACCTTTTTGAACAAATTTGGCTCCGTGTCTGTCTGTGGTCAATTTCTTGTAACCGGCAAAACTCCGGAACCATGAGACCAATTTTTATGAAAATTTCGGAGATTGTGCGGGTTGTTTTCTAGATGGTCTCCTATGAATTTCATCCCATTCGGATCAACGGTATAAATGCCTGTGCATAAACAAGAGTAAAATCATGTATACATCCGAAACCATTTGTGCAATTTTCAGGGATTATATAGGTTGCTTTCTAAATGATTCCCTATGAATTTTATTCCAAATGGATCTCATTTCCCCATTGAATTTAAAAAACCTATAGTAATCCCATAAATCGGACCCAAAAAGTGATATAATAAAGTGATACTAACAACTACAGGACTACTACAACTATTACCTACTGCATGTAGTATTGCTTGAAAAAATTTTCAGTATTGGTATCAAAGGTTTAATTTATTATATAATTAAATCTTGTTTGTTAAATATATCTCAAAAAAATAAGCCAAACTTCTAGAAATCAGACTAATATTAATTATAGTGTTCCATAGGGATATGTTTTATGCCCTATACTATTTTTAATTTACATTAATGATTTACTTAAATTAAACCTTTCTGGTCAAATATTGGGATTCACTGATGGCACAGCTAAACTTTTTTCTGGCAAATAATGATATAATAAAAAATATTAACGTTGAAATAATAGTAATTAAAAAAATGGCTGGATAGTAATTTCTTACTATTAATTCACTTAAACATAAAATCATTAAATTTGGTCTCTCAAATCAAAACAACTTAAATGAAAACATAGTATTACATTCTTGTGTAAATTCATTTACCCGATTTTGCCCCTTTCTAAAGAAGTTAAATATTAGGGAATAATTTTTGATAATACATTAAACTTTAAGTTTAGTATTGATGCTTTGGTAAAAAAGTTTAGAAAATTATTTTATAAATTTAAAATTTTAAGAAATATTCTTCAGCCAGATTTAATGAGGTCTGTTGATTTTGCATTAGCACACTCCTTCACTAACTCACTCCAAAAAATCTAAAATTTCTCCCAAAATTATTGCTCAAAATTCTTTAATAAAAATATTGCTAAATAAACATAGAAGGCACAACACAAAATAGCTCTACATTGATTTTAAAATGTTAAATCGAACAATTATTTTTGATATATCCATGTATTTATAAGCAAAAACTTTTACCCATTATGGGCTTCAATTTCACAAGAATAAGTGCACTAATAAAATTTATTTTTCCTAAAATAAACACTTCCATGCATTATAACAATTGATATAAATTCCTTTCCCTCTTTTGATCAATTAATTTCTTTAAACATATATAATTTAAAAAAGTTAATTTTAAAAGCAATATACTAATAAAATAATTATTTAAAAAATTCTTTCAAATGTCAATAGTCAAATAAACTGAATGAATACTGCTATCACTAATTTGCATAAATATTTTTTCATTATTTTTGTAATATATAAAATTCTTTGTGAGCTCATAACTCCTGCTCTCAAGCAAGTTAAACTTACTGAGAGCAGACTGTTCATTTTACATTATTTTGTTCTACATTATCATTTAATATTTCCTCAGAATAATGTATTCAATGTCTTGTCTTATATGGAAAACAACTTTTGCAGGATAAATGTAGCAAATTATGTAAAATAAAAATGATATTTATGAAAATAAAGTTTTGATCTTTTGTTTCAGGGAAACTGACTGCAGTGATTGGAAGAGTGGGTTGTGGCAAGACGTCGTTTCTGCATGCACTACTTGGGGAGATGAAATGTGTGTCCGGCCTCATGAAATGGGAAAAGTATTGTAACATTACAAAAAGATTGATATTTTACGAACTTTGCGAATTAAACGATCCGATTTTACAGGGGTGTCTCTTTCGCCTATGTGTCTCAGCAGCCCTGGCTCCTAAACGCGACGCTCAGGGAAAACGTGCTGATGGGGTTGTCGTACAAGATGCGCAGGTTCTCCAGGGTGATCGCGGCTACAGCCCTCCAACCGGATATCGACATCTTGCCTAACAAAGATCTGACCGAACTGGGCGAGAAGGGTGTCAATCTGTCTGGTGGACAGAGGCAGAGGATAGCCATCGCCAGGGCACTCTATTCAAAGGCCAATGTCATCATACTCGTATGTTATTCTTCCGGATGATTCAGACAGGGTCTTTAATCATAAAATTTTTCAGGACGATCCGCTCTCCGCTCTTGATTACCATGTAGCACAGCATGTATTCGAGCATGGAATCATGAACCTAGTCTTGAAGCAGAGGAAAACTGTAGTCATGGTCACTCACTCGCTACACCTTCTCACTTATGCCCACAAAGTCAGTACTAACATTAAATATAGTATTGTTTATAAACATAAATGTCACTTTAGCTAACAAATCTTTTTAAAAAAATTAAATAATATATATTAAATATTTATATAATATTTAATAATATTACATTAAAAATATTTTTTTTAATTATTAAAAAAATTAAAATCCTTCTATGCCAGATCGTCATTAGTATGCCTACACTAAAGTCCTCCTTAATTCTAATTGATAAACAATTATCATCCTTTTGTGTGATATTTTCAGCATCCAATCTCATTAAGTTATTAAAAAATAATATAATAATATACGTCTTCGACGGGACGTCCATCAATCACTCATTCAGATGCTTTAAGTATGGCAATCTGTTTGGCACTTATTAATGTAAACAATTGGATGTCAATTTAATTTGGAATAGTTAGGGTGATCTAGATCTGAAACTTTCTCATATTAATATTGCTTTTCCTCCTACCATCAAATCACACAGTATGTCATTGTTTTCAATCTCGGCATTTTTGTTTCTGAAGCTGTTGTTTTCTTAACATCTCCTGACTGCTAAACTGGGGCAGTACAACACCACTTACGGTTGTGTATTTGATACCAACTTTTCATTTCAGGTAGTCGCCCTCGAAAGTGGCAGAATGAGAGCATGCGGCAAGCTGACAGACATGGAACTGGTAGATGGTGTTGTGACCGGAGTGGACACGAGTGGCGATTCGCGCGGCAGGACTGCCAGGGAAAGGTGGCAGTTGGTGAAACTGGTGTCCAGGATCGGGCACCATATCAGGCAGCAAAATATGAAATATCAGGTGATTTGAATTTGATGATGAACAAAGACAGGAAATCTGCTTTAGGAATCATACTAATGGTAAATCATTGGTTATTTTGCTAAGTTTAAATGGTATTAAGGGTTTTTATAAAAATACCATCAACTGTCAGTTCTTGCGATGTCTCCTATCATCCTAGTCAATAATAATAGGCAGCCCGGATGATCTATGATTAAAAGCTATAAAAGTTTAACTTTATTCTAAAAAGAAATATGAATCTTCCTCTTTCAAGAAAGTATGCTTAGTTTTTCTGCTTTCCTTATGAGTACATAGAAAGCAGTAGCTTCTTAGGTTGACAGTTGACCCTATGATGCCAAATTAACTGACTGAGCTTACCCAGTTTCGGCCGTTTTCTGTTTCAGAACAAGCAGCTATTCATACCATTTCGAAAACGGCTTAGCACCGGCTCGGAGTATTACTGGGCACAGGACCTTCCACTGCCGAGCTCGATTGACGGCGAACGAGACATGCCACTACAGAGGTCGACAACGCTTCCTCGTCACAGGCCCGTTGCCAGAGCAAGCTCGTTGCAGCCACACTCCTCGAGCCACATGAACCCAGTGACCAGGCAGGCGTCCAGCCCGATCATCAACCAGGGCACGAGGTTGTTGTTATCTACTCAAGCTTATTGTTACATATATACTTGTTCTACCTTTTAGACTTGATTTATTCTTTATTCTCAATTTTCAGGGGAAGGACTTACACTTTTGATGGTGTGCCTCCTGGGGGTAACTTGCTCAAGCACATTTTTATGTCATCAAACAAGTAAGAATAATGTAAAACAAATTTAAACATGTTTTTATCGATTTGTTTTGTCAATGTAGAAACATGACTGGAGTTGAGCCTCAGACAAACACAAACAGCAGTATAAAAGAGAAAAATCTCTTGCAGAGGCTGATGTCTACCACTTCTATAAAGTAATATGCCTACTTTTTCTTGCTTCAGCAGTAAACATAATTTTTTTTTATTATTTCAGATCTGTGGTGTTCAATGAAAATGAAAAACGCCCAATCCAAAGGCTTCCGTCTACCTGCAGTGATTACAGTGACGAATGTTATGACGAGGATGAAGATCGTAAGTGGTTTTGGTGTAATGTTTAATTTGTTTACTTACAAATGTTTATAGAATGTATCCTGATTTGGTTTGGACTATCAGACTTTTTTATGTCTTTATTGAGCAGTTGCATTCCAAGTTGGAAGTATTTGCATAAGCTACAAATGGAATCATCTTTAAATAAATGTTTTTCGACTATAGGCGTTTTTCAGATGCCAATGACCCTAACACTCTCCTATGTTTTACCCTGTCTAATTATACCACTTTATGGACATCTCCCTTTAGTACTTAAACTTTCATCTGGGGCGTCAATAATTCTAATCAGTAAATACAACGCAAAATAATGAAGAGAAAAATTTGTCTTTTTTGTCAATCTTTATTATATCTTGAAATAATTTTGTTTCTTTTATGAAGTAAAAATTCTTTCAGGGGTATGGTACATCAGTATATTTGTGTGTTTGCTCAATACTCAAACTGTTTGTCCTTGCTTCTAAGATATTGTTGGGCTATTAATGACTGGTTTAGATGTGTTATATTTACATCCTAATGCCCTTATGATTTGTACTTAATTAACTCTTTACAGACTATATCATAATAAAAATTGCTTTACAAAATCCACTCTAACTGAATTTGCTCTATTTATTTATTTCAGTGGAACCTGATTGGTGCGGAACCAATACAGTAGAAGAGCGCCAGTATGGTACAATATCACCCTATGTCTATTTCACATATTTACGAGCCTGTGGAGTTGTAGCAGCGATCGGCTACTTAATTCTAGCCATGTCATGGCAGGTGATGCGAGTCTACACAGATTTCTGGTTGAGTAAATGGACCCAGGGCTCAGAGGGCCATAATGATGAAGAGACCCTCTACTATCTAATCATGTATACCGGTCTGTCCTTCACATGTGTACTAATATCGCTCTTGAGCAATCTTCTGGGCCAGTACAGCGGCGCTCGGGCAAGGCGGAGATTGCACAAAAATATGTTACTCTCGGTCGTGAGGCTCCCGCTGAAGGTGTTCGAGACCACACCCCTTGGACGTATCCTAGCAAGGTTTTCAACTGACATAAATGTCATTGACAAGGTAAGATAAACCTAAATTTTGGTCATGTGTTCACTGGTCAGTCTACTCTCACTGGTGTAATTTTTCATGCTATCTTCAGTAAAGAACAATTTGGAACAAGTGAGAGTAGATGGAATCACTTCATTGGGTTCCTGAAGAACCATCATTAACTTTAAATTAATTATTCAGAAATCATGAGATGCGGTCTGATGTGATGTAGGTATCAGAAAAACATTTTCTTTATCGTGCCAACGTTTCGATCTTTATTTAGATCATCTTCAGGGTTTGGGATCTCAGTAAAGATCGAAACGTTGGCACGATAAAGAAAATGTTTTTCTGATACCTACATCACACCAGACCGCATCTCATGATTTCTGAATAATTATCGATTAACGGTCACTAACTACCACACATTAACTTTAAATTTTGATCTTTCATTATAACCATAATATATGTTTAGGGGTTTTATCTAAGGTCTCGGTTGAAATGAAAAACTTAAGTGTCACGAGTGGGATTTGAACCCAGAAGAGGGAAAATTCGAAAGGTTGAAGGTTGAGATGAGGTGTTGGTGTCCGAGTGGATTGAGTCACAATAGCTAGAGCAGTGGCGTATTCAGCTGAAAGTTGTGGGTTTGAATCCTGCTTGTGACACTAACTTTTTAATCTCAACCAAGACCTTACATAAAGAATAATTAATTGAGATTTTGTTATAACGTTATTCTCTTGTTTTCTTTTTAAGAAATTGGCGACTTCAATTCAGAGGCTGATTCAATTTTTGCTACTGTGTTTCTCAGCAATATTGGTAAATTCCATCGTCACACCTTGGTTCCTTATATTAGCAGTTCCTATCTGTATTTTTTATTATATCATACAGAGATTTTATCGTTGTTCTTCAAGGTAAGGTTAAATAAAAATGTCAGTGTGCATTTTACTTGCTTAACATAACCTAAATCTTGTAACAAATATATATAATTATCGTAATGATAAAAACTTACAGAGAACTGCAAAGGCTTGACAGCATGTCACGAACCCCCATACTGTCACATTTGACAGAGACGCTTTCTGGCCTGGAGACAATCCGTGCTTTCAAGCAGCAAAGGAGATTCACAGTGGCCATGTTCTATAAATTTGACAGTCACACCAATGCCTTTTTGATAGCAAATTCTGCCACTAGGTGGCTTGGAATTGCTCTTGTCAGTAATTAAAATTTAATTATATTCAGTTTAAACTGGCCGTTTTCAATACTTATCTATGAATTATATTTTCTATAGGATTATCTTGGTGCAGTTATTGTCCTTTTGGCAATGGTTGTTTCACTTGTGTGCAGTGCAGTCGTTCCTGATGTTGTGACTCCTGCGTTAGTCGGACTCGCAATAAATTACACCCTGCTTGTTCCAATATATTTAAACTGGGTTGTAAAATTTCTATCAGATGTTGAAATGTACATGGCGGGCGTCGAGAGGATCTGTCATTATATCAAAATGCCATCGGAGGATTACAAGCAAATCAACCAGCGTTCATTCCTCAAGACAGTCATTTCACCAAAGGGCCTGATCTGGAAAAACTGGCCTTCGAAAGGGATGATCAAATTTGACAGAGTTTCGCTCCGCTATGACCACAGCCAGGAGATTGCTGTTACAAACCTCAATCTGGTGATACCTCCTGGGCAAAAAGTATGTATATTTTTTTAAAGTATATTTTTTGTTTAGTAATACATGTATTTCAGGTTGGTATTTGTGGAAGGACTGGAAGCGGAAAATCTTCTTTAGTCATGTCTTTATTCGGCATGACTCCAGTCATTGAAGGAATTATTTTCATCGATGATGTTGACATTTCAACAGCCCCTCTGCAATATTTGAGATCACGTTTATCTGTGATACCACAAGATGTTATCATGTTCAGCGGCACTATTAGGTATGCACTTAAAATTAAATAAAATCAAGCTTTACAGTAACGTTTCTTATTTTTTTAAATTAGAGAAAATCTAGATTTAGACAGTCAATATTCTGATGCACAACTCTGGGAGGCTTTGGAACTGGCACAGCTCAAAGAAATTGTCTCTTCTCAACTCGGCGGACTAAGTAAAATAAATAAAAAAATTGCCAGTTTTGTATTATTTCATAAATCTCACATTTTAGATGGTTTAGTGCGAGAAGGAGGGGTAAATTTGAGCTCGGGGCAGAGGCAGCTACTGTGCCTCGCCAGAGCAATATTACGTCAGACAGCCTGCCTCATTATGGACGAAGCGACAAGCTCATTGGATGTAACCACTGAGAAAACGTTGATCCATGCTGCTGAAAAGGCGTTTGCAAACAAAACTATAATAACAATTGCTGTACGCTATCATCACTTCTTCCTTAATACAATAATAATCAACATACTTTTTTTTTTTTCAGCATCGGTTGACCACGTTATTATCATGTGATAGAATTTTAGTATTAGAATCGGGGAGGATTGTGGAAGACGGGTCACCTGCTGAGCTTCTCAACAGGTCTATGGGCATCTTCTCAACAATGCTGCGTTCCGCCGAATCTCATCACAACACCCACCCATGACCAAATGCGCTTTTGTTTAAATTGACAGTATTTTGTAGACAATGAAAATAAAACACGTTAAACTAAGGACTTATTTTATGTATGTAAAAAACACATTTTAATTGTAAAAAGAAACTTGTATATGATTAATAAAACTTTTTTAAAATTAAAACTCTTTTTTAATTACTTTATTTTTGGATGAATATGGTGATAAGTTATTTTTAAGTGTTTTCAGAACAAACTTATTTCAGGTAAACTTAAATAATTTACTATTTTAAATAATTATTTTAAAGCTAAAGATGAGTCATAAATTTATGAACTGTGATAACGATATTTGAACTATGATGTGGATTTGATTTAAGCATTGTGAATTTAATTTACAAAAATCAATCTCTTGAGTTATAAATGGTGTGAAACAGGGAGGAAAGTTTAGGTCTGAATAATAATGATAATTAAGAGACAACACTACTCAATTTAATAATAAATCCACTTACTTATAATGCACCTATAAAACAAGTGTTTTACAGCTTTCTCAAGACTAAAAATGAAAATGATTTCTTTATATAATGATTGTAAATATATAATACATGAACAAAGGATCACATCACTAATCTAGAAATTACAAAATTAAGGTTACATTTCTAAAAGCTTAAAGTATCCAACAGTTTGACCATATCTAATGCCATCAATGGAGGGAAACCTCTTTTTGTCGAGTAAAATTTAGGACACATATACAAGGTAAAAATGAAGTATGCAAATTAATCATACACAACCCCCATTGCTTCCAAGACACTCTTTGCACATTGCTTCTTGGCATCTTTTTTGTTGGTTCCTAAAAATAATGCACTTTGTATTTACATATCTATTCTAATGGGTGGAATATTTGCACATAAAATTACAAACCTGTTCCTTTGTATGCTTTTCCATCAACGATGACAGTAAAGGTGAAGGTGAGATTTGGAGGGACGCCTTCACGACTCTCTATGTACTGGGAGCCTGGCCTGACCTGGTTTAAAAGCTGAACGGGATGCTTTTGGTTCGCATCCACAGGGAGTTTCTTGACAGTAGCCCCGGTTGGTGGTGGTACATGCTACAATTATATATATATTTTTTAAAATCAATACATCAACCAGATACCAGCTGAAACGCACCTTTTGAAAAATTCCAGCAATACCAGCATTTGCAGGTAGTTGAAAACCCTGGGACTGCCAATCAGAGAAGAGCTTGTAAAGGGCAAAACTGGCCAGGGAGCCCCATGGCACGTCGTCCTCAGCGATAAGCCGCCTGGGCTTCTTTGGTTCTTCCCCATCTTTCTTTTCCGAACTATCATCTCCCACAATAGACATTTCTACATCTTCACCTGTTAAATTCAATTTATTTAAAAACCATCTAAAAAAACAAAACAAACTATTTCTAAAAATTTACAAGTTGAGTTTGCAGAGCTGCTTAGTCTGATGTTGTTTTGCTCAAGTTTCTCAAGTAATACTGACTTAAGAGCATTCTCGCTTGCAGCTTGTTTTGCAGCAGCCTTTGACATCCCCTGTCCGATAAATGTTCTTCCACCGATCTGGAACCATTTTTGAGATGAGCAAATTATTCCATTATATTGGAATACAAAACATTACCTCGACTTTAACGGTATAGGTCATTTGATTGGTTGCATTTACATCCTCTGATATTGTTAGCTTGAGTTCAGGATGTAGCTCATACAGAACCATCATGGAATTCTTTGGAGTCAATAGTGCTTTAAGCCTAGCATTCTGCCTCCTTCTGATTATATTCTTAGAAATTTTGGTACCTGAGAAACCTGAAATATACACAAGTGAGTTTTCAGCACATCAAAACAATGACCATTAATTGATTGTAACTATTAGCAACTAGCAGCAGCACTAATTCATATCCATTACTTAAAACCCACCTCAAGGAATGTACAAAATAAAAATGAATGAAAATATTATTTTAGAAAACAAAACAGGCATGCATGCAATACTTTACACTACTGATCCAAATTTTTACTTATTTATCAATTTAATACTACTATAAATTTGTTTTAGGAAAAAAGTATAAACCTACCTCTTCGGGCCCAAAACCTGAACCTCTTTCCACTTTTAACTGTAGGGCCACCTTCATGGGATTCTTCAACTCCTTCCTGACCGTTATCACTGCTCTGAGATTCCGCTGATAAGTCTTTCTTATAATCAGCAAGACCAAGTCCTGGGATATTTTGGTCCTCATTTTTTACATGGACCACAGGTGGCTGGGTTTGGGGTGGCTGTGGCTGTGATGCAGGAGTTTGTTGTACTGGTGCTGGTGGAGGAGTTTGCTGGTTCTGTTGTGGAGCCGGCTGCTGAGCTGGTGGCTGCTGGGCCTGTTGTGTTGGTGGCTGCTGCTGTATCGGAGGAGATTGCTGTGGCTGCGGTTGGGGTTGGGGCGATGGTGCTGGAGGGTGCTGCTGAGGCGGTTGTTGGTTGGCAGGTTGCTGGGCCGCTGGTGGGATTTGATGGTGCTGCTGCTGCTGCTGCTGGCGCTAAAGGGGCACATCAGAACGCTATGCATTGACTGATACGGTGAGATGACCCGAGACCCGAGACTACACTCAGCCCATACAGTTTTTCAAGAAACCCATTTACCCATTTTAGTGCCAAATACTCCATTTTCTGATACTTTAAGGTAACAAAAATGGTATAGAATCTTTACATTGCATTATGGTTTTATATATATTTTTTTTAAAGATTTGCTACCTTAAGTACAGACAAACAAAGGATTGAGGCTAGAATTCTGAAAGGGTAAATGGCGTAATAATGCTATTAGAGGGAGAAAGTAGTGAGTCCGAGTGATCCTCTGCCGCAATATTGCTTAGCCCTGAGATGTGGCAAAGGGGGAAACAAAAAAGAAAATTGTGAATTCCACACCAAGACTTCTTACGCTATTATCTTTCACCAAATGCTCAAAAGAAAATCTTTTACATCTAATCACTAATTACTTTTTAGTTTTTTCACAAAAATTGCCTAAAATACTATTAAAAGGATTGCAATTTGGGTTCTTTTTTTATTTTACTTTTTAAAAAAAAACATATTTCACTTTTATGTTATTTAAGAAGTTTTACTTACATTTTTATTAAAGTAATTTGAAAGCAAGAAATCCTTTTAAAATAAAGAAGGCAAGTTTTGGCAAGACAAAAAGTAAGAAGTCAATATTGAAAAGAATGTATTTTCCATAAGCTTACAATATGATGAAGTTTTCAAGTGTTCTCGTTTGACTTCTCCTGACTATCAGCTTGAATCGGACAAGTCACCATGAAGACAAGCATTCACATCGAACCGGGATGAAGAGAAGGACTATTAAAGGCCAGAGAGGGAAATGTATAATTTAATCAAAAGACAAAACTGATCATTTTAAACTGTATGTAATTACAAATTTCCCGGCATAGACCGATAATTAAGATCCATCCAACTGCCTCTTACCGGCCCCTATTGAATGCTCTTCCTCCAGTCACTTGTCTATTTCAAATAGATCGGTACGGAGAACCCATGTGATGTATCTGACTGCAAACAACTCGAGCAGTTAAACAGGAAATAAGAGAAAACTGTTTTCTTGTTACATTTGGAACAAAATACAACAAAATATTCACAAATCTAAGGATTATCCAACTTTCAATAAACTAGATTAATTAGAATGAATTATAATGAAATTAAATCAGATAATAAATTTTAGTTTTGTTTATCATTTTAATAAAATATTTGAAGCCTTATGGCTGGTTTGATTATATTTAAAATTGAGATGTTAGGACGAATTTTTATTTTATTTTATTTTTTTAAGTAAAAATAGTTACGGCTTTGTAGTTATTCAACAGAGATGTTAATTTGCTTCCATCTTGAATCTAGAATTTAATTCAAGAGAGCAAAACCAAAATTGGTGATGAGAAATACTACACCCATTTTAGGTACCTAGCGTAATTTTAATCAGTTTAACCTTGATATAAATGCAATGAAAACTTAATTTTTTACTTTTTAATTAGAAAAATTTGCTAAGTAAAATACAACATTGTACTTATTGTTTAAAAAAGTTGAGACAAATAAACAACTAATGTAAACTAAAATGTATTTAAATTAATAACTTGAATTTGTTGAAGCATTATTAAAAATGGAAGACAGTATGCACAGCATTACCAGAACAGCTTTCTGCTTTTCATTATATTGAATAAACAACTGGTGGGTATTAAAGAAGACGTGCTTCAGTCACCATCACGCCACATCTCTCAAGTAACAACATTTTATGGTGATAAAATATCTTTCATAAGTTAGGTAGGTACAGCAATGACAAAAAATGTCAGCCTGCACATTCAAAAGCGAAGACTTGGTATTTTGGCTTACACTCAACAAGAATTGCCATTTGTCGAACACTTTTCACAGGTGTAGAATTGTCCATAAATGATAAACCAATTGGACTCAGTACTATTGGGGTAAAACTTGAGTTCTGATTAGTCTAGGCTTTGTCTGAGGTCTTCAAAGAAGGGAAGAATATTGTTTTTGGAACTTTTTAATAAAAGGTAGCTTCATCTTCATAGATAATTCATAAAAAACTGTGAATTACTTGAGGATGTTGTAGTAGTTTTTGAGATTTTTATTTTCATGCATGGATATGCCATACCAACGATTCTCATTATTGAAAAGGACTTTGTTTCAGTATTTGGAAGGTATTTTTATGCGATTATAGACCCTAAATAACCATGGCATGAGTTGTAAAAAGTCCAACACTGTATGTGATTTGTATGTATAATAAAAAAATAAATAAATAGATTAAAAAATTGGTGACTTTTTATGTAGATTTCTTGATGAACAGATGTCTTTATGTATTTATCTTATTTTTAGAGAAAAACGCCTTTCAATATAACATTAAAATGTAATAAATACATATATATTATTGTGAGATTTCCTCTTGGGGGTCTGTACGTTGATAAACCTGTAGTTTGGCTTGTTTTCCATCATTTTGGTCTTCCTTTCTCTCTCTCTCTGTTTTGGTCTGTTTGACACATTTGGCACCTTACCATCTACCTGCAGGGTCTGTGGGATTCTTGATGTCTCCAAATTTTCTATATACAAATGTAAAGTGAGTGGGTGATATATGAAACTAAGTTCCACTTGTAGGATGTGAACTATGTTCCCCATCAATGAGCCAGGGATATTAAGAGAAATGAGGTATCAACATAGACTTTTGACATGCCTGAACAGCGAGAACAAAAATCAATGAAAACAACTTTATTTTAAATTAGAGGTTAAGGTGATTTTCCATGATCCATTGAACCTAAGTATAATACTAAAGAAACAATAGGTTTTTTTAAAAGTGAATTATGATTATTTAAGAGTGATAAGCAAGCTTGATAAATTTGAGTGATAATGAAATTTTATTTTATACAGAAATCAAATTTTTTTTTATTTAAAGAAGACGTTTTTATTAATGTATAAATCAGTGTGCCTGTCATTGACTCAGATGATATGACAATCGTAAACTAATTATACAAAGTACAAAGTTACATTGTTGACATTTTATGAGAAATATTATTTTTTGTGAACTGGCACAGGGTCAGTAAACACATATTGAACCGGCACTGCATCTAACTACCCTTGCAGGTGATATGTGTTTACTGACTCACAGGCCAACACCTATCAGCTTTAACACAGCCACCAATGCTACTTTGAAAGTATATACAAAAATTAACAAAACCAAAATGTTGAGGACTAGGCAGGGCGATGCCTACAATTCAACATTAACTTTAATTTTGTTTGATGAGAAAGAACAGGTAGATAGATAAAGTGATCTGGGGTTTTTCAATTTTTTATCAGCTTCTCATCCAGTGCTTGGTCTGTATGAATCATATTTTGGGCTTTTGTGTTTTGCACTATTTAAATTAAAAGTAGGAAATAGGAAGAATTCAATCATCTAAGGCAAAATTATGTTTGTAGAACTGGAACAGTTTCTTGATGTCCAAACATTGAGTAGCTGGACATTATTACTACTTCCTGTTGTCAGACATGTTTCAATTTTTTGCTATCATCAAAATTTTATACAACATATAAAAGGAACTATCTCAGAAAAAATATTACCAAAACCAATAACTGAGAATGCAAGATGCACAAAAACATCTGACGTGAAGATTGAGGAGAACAAACTACAAGTTCATCATCCCACAGACCACAAAAGGAAATTTCACATTAGTAAAGAAAATTATTATTAGTATTTAAAAAAGAAATGGTATTTAAAAATGATTCAGGGCATGATTGATGACTGACATGGATTGAGGTTACATGAGTTTTTTTACTGATTGATTATATAAAGTTTCGATGTGAAGGATGATGAATTTTATAAGAAGAACTTTATTTGTTGTTGGTTGGTGAAAAAGAGTAAATGGTTTAAATGAAGTTTTACTTTGTGAGTGTGCGTTTATTTTTACTTTCATATTACTGTGAAATAGGGATTGTTTAAAGTTTGGTAAACAATGTTTATACACATGGTGGTAGGGCACAATAACAATTACAAGTAATTAATGTTTGAGGTGTATGATTGTACATTATCCAACCTGTAGTGTACAATACACTAGAGTGGAACGACAATAAAAACAATTGATTATTAAAATTTTAGCCTCTTACGGAATCAAATTACTAATAATTTTTTGTGTTTATAAACCAGAGTATGGTTGATATCTGACAGAGAGATGTTATATGACAGTTTCCAACCGATTTCATAAAGCACTACTGCTGCTGACAACGTAAAGAGTTAAAGTAAAAACAGTATTCAAATTGAAGCTTTACTTGGTTAGCTTACTTTACTTACTACTTTACTACATTTTATACTATGAGAACTTCAATTTTTGGACGACCATAAACTCAATTTGTTTTTGAGCTAAATGAGGGGAAGGAACAGTTTTATTAAAAACTTTTATTTCATGTTTGATGCTTTTTAAGTTCCATACTGGTAGATACAATTTTAAAAATGTCATAAGAATGGCAATTAAATTAAAATTTGAAAAAATTAAAAATAATAATCAAATGTGGTCCAGGGTAAAATAGCAGGTTAATTTTTTTAAAAGTTTATCACATTCTTTTAATATCAAAATGTAAGAAGTTTGTTACTTTAAGCGTGTTAATTTTTTTTGAAGAACAGTGTTTCTTTACTAATGAAGTATTTCAGAATGTATTGGCTAATTATTAATTTACATGCCACATCATCTTGGGCTATGCATTTAATTCCCAGGATACATCCATGTTTTCCAACTTCCATCTGAAATTATCAAAAAAATCGAGCCTTCAAGAACGTTGGATAGCTCATAAAATGTTGAAGTTTTTAGCTGATTTGACATTTTTTTAAATGTAATGTAATAAAGCTACAGTTGATCCAAAATTAACATTTCACAAAATTCTTGATGTTTGTGGAGTTATTTTGTAAGTAGGCTGGCAATTTTTAGAACAAAAGTGGACTAGTCTAAAAGGAAATTCAGTCAAAAAATCTAAAAACGGGATTAAAGGTGGGAAAAGTTGTGTTAGAGTAGAGAAAATTACAGTTTTACGTAAAGAAACGAGTTTTTCTCAAATAAACCCTAAAAAAGTCATAACTTTTGAACAAATTGAGCTAAAACCATGTGGTTTGCGGCATTCTACACGACTTTAGATGTACTGTGATTGAATCTTTTTTAAAAACAACTAGCTGACCACCCTGTATTATGGTCTTTGTTTCTGGTTTCATTGTAGAGCAAGTTGGTTTAATGATAAAGTTACTTTCATTTAAATCTACTATACGCTATAAACTATAAATACTAGATTCCGCAATGTGCAGGTGAAGTAAAGTAAAACTATTATTCTGCCTATTTAATGCCTTTATCAGGATTATATTCTAAAACTTGAATGAAAATTTTCATAGTTTTGTAAACCTTACATCAATTAAAATTACCTATAATAAAATAATATAAATAAAACAAAAACAATTAATTTTTATATTTTGACGTAACTACTAAGGGGAAAAAATAGACACACCAGGTCTCATAAAAAATATCTTTAATGTGTGTAAGAAACTTAATGGTAAAAAATATAGTATGTATTGAGTAAAGACTGGAAGTTCTGATTGAATTCCCACAACACGCTTCTTACAATAAAAATAATAATCATTAAAAAATAAATAAATAAATTGGGCTTCCACACAAAATAATTCTTTCTTTTTTTAAATGTTATTTTCATTTAGTTAGATTGTAGTCCTTGGGAAGGCATTAAAAAGGCAGAAAGGTTGACAACTTGAGTTTTTCTTCGTTGACCTCCCCTCCCCAATACTCTTACAACATATTTATCAGAAAGCCAATAAAAAGACATCAAAGTTATTTCATTTTTCATAACAAACGAGGGTGAAACATGTTGGCAGTTCATTTATTTGTACTCCACCACATTCGATAACAAACTTTTCCCTCGGTGGATTCGCTGTGATATGCCAGCGGTGAGTTCTTGACCACACATATATGTTCACCAGTTGAAAACCTATTACCGGTCAAAACATTGATTAGATTTTGAAGGTACAGTTACCAGACCTCAACCCTAAAATTTGTGGCAACATTTACACATGAAACTTCAAGATAGAGTAGTCACCAACAAAGCATTAAAGAAATTATGTATATCCAACTAAATAATAGTTAAAAAAATATATCGTTTTTAACAGGTGTCCAGATATTTCTGTACCCTCAAAAAATTGATTTTTTTTAAAGCTTGGTAATGCAATTATACTGAATTGTAACCTGTTTTTCCTTGTTGACTAATAGTTTGTACCTTAATCACACATGAAAAAAAGTCATTTATGAAACTTGTGGTTTTTCCCTTGTATATCCCAAAATTGAATTAAGGGGCAGGTTTTACGAAAAATTAAAGATACTCACTGTATATAATTTCTTATAGCCCACCCTTGCACCTTGGGTTGAAATTTTGGATTCCATGTCAGTTTATAAGGGGGGCGGGGCGCGTTAGTAACAAACATGGAGTAATTAATGTTTCAGGTGAAAAACCTGTCCGTACGTTTGTAAACATGAAATAATTATGTTTAAACGGCAAAACGACTGGTTCTTATATAAATCTGTTAACCGTTTGTTTTCCATTTAGTTTTTGAAGGATGTTTAACTTTCTAAAAGAGAGTCTGAGACGCTAATTATGCCGTAAAATAATAAAACTAAACAAGTTCAACCTGTTGTTTTAAATATATGTAAAACAAAAGAAATCAGCCGGCCGGAAAGTCAAATAGGAAAATATCGAGCGGCTTACCCTGGTGACAGGCGGATTGTAGTTCTGGTTGTTGAAGTTCTTGTGGCCCGTGCTGTAATGCTGGGGCGATTTGTAGTTCGGCCTGTTGTACCTGATACCTGAAAATTGACAATCACGTCTATTTAATGAAAGCGTCCTGTGGCCGGCCTTACGCCGGGATGCAAATCGGACAGAATTTGACTTACCACCACGGTGAGACATTTTACCAAGTTTCGTCCCGCTGGCAGTTTATTCCGTCAAAAGAGAAAGGAATATATAAGTCTTGGAAACGTCGAAGAAAAGGGGAAAACGCCTGACGACAGTCGATGTGCAAATGGCAGACGCCGACAATCGGCTCTCTGGCTCGCACAGGATGCCTGGATAGGGCCACGGACACAATCGATACGTCTCACCGTAACTATTTTCAAAAAAACAAAACAATCTTTCTAAATTCTACGCAGAAAAAATAAATTAAATTATATAATCTAAAAAGTAATTATATAATCTTTTTATAGAGGATTATATAGAAAAAAGGTCCTTTGCAATCCAAAGGGCTGTGACAAAGGAGGACGTTAAGAACTTGGGCGCGTCTGTCGAAAGGTCCATCGACGGTGGTAAGTCCTAAATAATATTAAAATAATAAAATAAATAAAATTATTACTGGATATTAATTGTTAGTTTGGTAAGCATTCAACTTGAATCATTCTTTTGAAAATACTAGATGGGGCATAACATATTAATCCAGCTAGCAAAAATGTGTTCCATTTCATCATGTTGAATTTTAATCAGTGGTAGAAAACGTGTGGGGGAAATTATTTTTTTCAATTGTTCCTAAAGTCTAAGTAATAACATGAAAGTATTAACGAAATGTGTAACAGAAAATTGCACACAACGCAAAACTTGCGACAAAATTAATTAACATGTGAAATTAATAATAGCAAGGCCTCTTTTATTTTTGGGGGCTTCATGAAGTCGGCTTTTCATCGAAGATAATAATTTTTTGGCTATGTCAGAACCGAGATTTTCCTATTCTTCTTTGACTGCTTCAGTCAGGTGACATTAAGACCGGGTTAAGATCCAGTGATTGTGGGGGTGCTTTCAGTTGGCGTGGAGCGTTGTGCAATAACCATTCCTTCGTTTTCTTAGCTAGTTTCGGGTCATTATCTTGTTGGAAAAACAAAATTCGAAATAATTCCAAATTTCTGGGATGCTAGATTTTCTCTAAGGCATACAAAGACAAGCGATTGTATATAGACAATTTAGAGACGGATTCACATCTATAGACAAGCTTTTGAAACAAAATCACAGAACTTTTGACTCATTTGAAATGGGAGGCACGAGACAATTCTTATACAAAGTTGTGCAACATTTTGTAATGTGAAAATTTTGGTAGACATTTTCTCTGAGAGGTGTGGCAAATGGTTGTATAATGCTTTATATATAACTTCACGAATCCCTTCAGAGATTGTATAATGACTTCATGGACAATCTGAGATAGAGCTTGCTTTGATATCCTAAAAGTGTACATTATGCTGGTGAATGGCTCTCCACTTGTCAGATAATGCAGTGTCACTGCCAATCTAAGAGATGGTGGAATGCTTTCTCTAAATCTGTTTTCTTTTTTCTTTATTTTTCCACTTAAAAGCTGAAGCAAAACTTCCAAGTCACTTGGGGTCAGATGAGAGAAGTTTCGGAAACCCATGCTGTCTTCCAGTTGCAAAGTTGACAAAAATGAGGTCCCTCTGGAAAAAGTTCTTGTTTCCACCATCTTTTCTTTCCCTTCTTTTCATTGTCTATGATTATCAATGCACAAGACGCAATCCCAACAAGGTCAGCCATATTTATCAACTTACAAGGAACCAGCATTCAAGTCTGTACAGAAGATAAAACTTTTTAGACTGTCTATATACAGACAGTCCCTATACGCGTCTCTAGACAATCACTCGACTGTATGCAGGTGTGTACAAAGCCTAAGAATGTCTATTGGTCAATTTTGCAAATTCAACTCTTTTTTTTCTGTTGACTTTCCTGATCTAGGTCTTTTTACAGGCAGATCATGCGCTAAGAACACATTTTTTAATGGTATTACGATCCATTTGAGGTTTTACAAATGTCGTAATCCTTTTGAAGATCTAAACCAGCACTAATATAAGACTCATAGTTCCCCCATTGAAGAATCAGTGAGGTCTTTCTAATTTCTTTGGCTGTCCCGGTCAGTCCTTACTTTCCAAAGTGTCATTAGTTTTGTAGTTCTGGATGATTATTTATACATTTGACCAATTTTTGCAAACACTTTCAAACACAATTTTTCTTAACAATTTTCCAAAATTACATTGTTGTTCTATTAGTCGACTAATTTCAACCCCGGCAATCGATTATGAGGAAATATTTATAAGATTATTGCCTTGCACGATTGATTCTTAAATATTAGCAACTAAATTTGAAAATAAATGTAGATAAGAATTTTTTGTTGCTGTTGAAAAAAGGAATTAAACCAAAAGAGTATTCAAACAAACAAAATAGTAGAAGTAATAAGTAATTTCTTTTTTCTTAAAAAAAAGAAAAAAAAAGAAGTTATAAAAGAACTAAATTCTCAAACTATGAAATGAACATACAGTTAATATTAAATATACTAAATATGAGTTATGTCTGCACTATGTAGCATTTAGAAAAGATTATTTAAATTATGTAAGAATATAATATGTTATCTCGTATTACTGGCTGTAGAGCTTATACAACCTCTGTAATAACTTGTTCAAAATAAAATCACATCTTGCCTTGAGGAAGGGTCACATATACATAAATCCAAAACGTTGGCGTATTAAAAAAGAGAGCAATAGCAATTGTTTTTTTTTTGTCTGAAAACTCACAAAAACGTATTGCATAGATAAACATAAACAATATTTTATTATATGAAATTTGTTTTGAGAAAAGGATTTATAAGTTTACATGTCACGAGATTTCTCTATCTACTCTGCAGAGTGATGAACCTGTAATTTGGTTGCTACCATGTTACATAAAAAAATGTGTACAATTTTGTTAGACCACTTATTTTAGATCCATGGGAACAAGTGTGGGTGGTTACCATTTAATGTTTTTTTCCTATAACTCTTCGTTCTTAAAAAAAAGTGGATGTCGCATTGAAATAGAGACACCCTGCACATCTATGTTGATTTTTCTTGGCGAATTTTCTATAATTTGTACAGACTGTGACACTTATTGGACCTTTTTTCCTTAACCTTTTTTTTGCTATATACCATGGGTTAATATTCTCTCCAAAATTGTAATGTTTAAAACTGTTTAGCATAAAAATTTGAAAACATAAAATTAAGGGAAAAAATAATTGAAAAGAAATTTTATTAGATGAGTGGCATAAAAATGATAACTTTATCAAAAATTTTGTTGATTCCGTGTCAAGAAGGCTTCAGGCAGTAACCGAGAGGCAAAAAAGTGGCCACCCTTAATATTTTTAATTATCTCTTAGACAATCCTCCATTGATTATCTTACAGCAATATTTGGTCTGTTTTAAAGGATTATAGGTGAAACGCAGATGAAATCTCTCACTTCTGTTTATAATTGGATGTTGTAAATAAATATCTGAATAGTCAATTTCTTCTTTGTTGGTTTTTCTGTATAGCTTCTTTCTAATGCTAAGAAGCCCTCTCTCATCACAACACACTGTAATGACACATCTACACTATAAGCCCTGAAGATGATCTCAATACAGATCGAAACGGTGACATGATAAAGAAAATGTTTTTCTGAGCCTACGTCACACCAGACTGCATCTAACAATTTCCAAACAATAATTACCATTAAAACTCAAAACTTCCGAGATACACATACATTCTCAAACCTATTTGGATATACAGGACCAAGCTTATGGATCGGCCAAATATTCCAATGTTCAAAGATTACAAAGTTTTCAATCCAAAATTTTAAGACTAATTGTTTCTGCCCCTTTTACGTAAACAATAACACCTTCACAGAGATTTTCACATGCCAACAGTTTTTTCATCCATCAAAACATATTACAGAGGTTTTAATGGTAAATTACAAAAGCACACTAACACACAAATACAATTACTACCATTCCCACAATTACCATGTAAATGTCTAAAAAGAATATCGATAAGAGACCTCTTCAATGATAAATATCATTTTATTAATGGGTAGTTTTCTCTATAACGCCCGTAATGCCACAAACATAAATTATCAAATCTGCTGGTTGTATATAATAAAGGTACAGTTGTAGATACAAATAAATGAAGTTAAAAAAATTAAGTCACTAAATACTGCACATTTATTCCGTGAGATGGCGGTTGAAGCACCTTAGGCGTTGTTCGGTCGGAACCGGCCGGTACGGGGCGCTGGAATCCGTCCGCCATTGCTGTCAGCTCCTATCCGGTTGGCTCGTTTTGCCATTTTCCTTTCCACTAAACCAGTCCGTGCTGAATCGCAAAACGGAGAGGGTCTCTCCGCCGCCGCCTCACTTTGACAGATGTAAACTTTCGCGTCGACCCAACCAGCAGGATAGCCGAAACAGTGCCGAAGTGCCGGGATCAGTGGATATGAGCGACGCCTCTTCCAAAACGGTGTTAGCCCAATTCGACGTCGCAAGTGTTTCCCCCGAATAAAGTGCCGGACATGTCCAGCCAGCTCATTCGCTCCGGCGAGTGCAGGAAGTTCTCGCCGAATATGTTCAACAAGACTAAGTGCACCAATTGCTTCAGGCAGAAGGAGGAGCACAGCGCGGAAGCACTCGAGAGCAATAGGGTAAGCAGAAGAATTTATGTACCAAAAAATAGACGGCATTGTTTACCCAGCGGGACGTAAACAACACCGCCTCTTCCGTCTTTATTCAGCAGCGACTGCAGAATATGCAGCAATCTGTTCGGTCTTGAGCTGGGCCGGCTGAGCGCATTCTGCTTCGCTCTCGTCGGTCTCTTAACAATCGCCCTCCCGGGCCTCGGGCAAGTCGAGCCTTGAAAACAAGAAAAAACTCGTTCATAGACAATTATGCACAAACCAATTAATTATTCTATTGTTTATTATTCGCAAAACGTTCCACTGCTTTATTAAAAAACAATCAAACTGCCTTAACAACAACCAAAACAAATTAAAAATTAAAACGACATTTCTGTATAGGCATACTTTATAGTCTATTGTTAAATGATCTTTTATAATGTGCCAGGGAGAAACGAGAGACTATTCAAAGAATAAAAATGAACTATATATTAAATCTGTTGAAAAATTAGCATTGAAACGTGCAATCCGTCCTTAAAAGAAGCATGAATTCATATATTTTGACTTTAAACTGCTGGATTGTTTGCACTATGTACACAAACGTTTTGAACACCTGGCGGACACTTTAAATCCATGATACATATAGTTGAGAGATTTCATCTTGGTATTTGTGGGGTACCTGGCTATCCTAGCTGTTCTCGTCATTCAGGCGCGTTTCGGTTTCTCGACATCATCAGTAGTGTGTATTTATCATTATGATGCCCACCACTGTACGAGACAAGACCAAAACAACGAGTATAAACAGAACAAAATGGTCAGGAACGGCCAAAATACAAAACACAGGAGGGTGTTTTGACGTTGAAGCTGCTAAGATGAAAAAGCAGAGCGTATAAACAACAAATTCCCAATAATTCACCTTTTTTTTTTAAAACGCATATTAACGAAATTGAACCCATACAAATCGAGTTGAACCGAGCATTTAGAACAAGTATTATAAAACATTAAATTATGTCTTTACTCATGATTCTAGTGATTTTTCGTGTTAACGTACTTCCACTTCTTAGATTGATTTTGTCCTATACTTGAACACATTCAATACAATAGGGTAAATGATATTTGTGATATTTCGGGAAAAAAAACTTTCGTTTTAATGGTAGACGAGGTCTCATCGTATTCGATATTGGCAACTGAGGATTAGCATAACAATAAGAGGCAGGATGTTCTGATATCGATACATCTCTGCCGACATGAGTGAGCGTTTAAAACCAACACAGAATTAGCCATGTACGATAAACATGTATTTTAGGATAAATTGAATCTATAGAAATTTAAAAAAAAATAGCTGAGGGCTAGTAGTTGTGATAAGGAAATTATTTCGAAACGAGGTATTTTAATGTTTTTTTTAAAGCTTTTATTAAAGGATATTAACTTTATTTCTTCAATAATTTTTTCCTTTATGCCATTAGCCCATATGTGCTATGGACTGTATATTATACGTTACCCCATTAAATTATAATTAATATGAATATGAAAAAATGATTTCACCATATCTTTTTAAATAGTTAAATTTGTCAGTGAAAAGTTTTATTGCCACGTCCTTGACAAAATTTTTAGATTTTCCATAAGGTTTTTCTTATAATAAGAAGAAAACAGTTAATTTGACGTGTTTCAAAATTGAAAGTGGAATATTATTTTTCTTAATTGTTGAATTTGTTAAGAGCCAGTCACAGCAGAAGAAAAATTGTCTAGATGGACATTATTTATTATTTAGTTATTTTTCTTCAAAATAGCTGTTAATTCTTTGCGTGGACTGGAGGTGCATTATCTATCAATACTGTATATTTACAGTATAACTAAATACTTTTAGTAATATAACATACATGTTATATTTTAATTTGTTGAAGTCGTGAGGAGCAGTCAAGAATGGTTTTTTTTGCACATTTTTTCTCTTTTTTTGCCGACGTTTTGACTTTTATTCGGGTCATCTTCAGAGCATAAATGTCATAATATCAGTCATATTCTTGTGGTGTGATGTAGTTTTATTTTAACTTTTCTTTAGCTTCTTGTTTGTAATATTGTTCATAACATTTATCCATTTTGTTCATTACAGTATTGTTTACATTTAACTTTTATTTAATTGTATCTATGAGTTTGTATTAGAAACCTGACTGGTTTTTTCTTTTATGTAAAAGGGTTAAGCCGTTAATTATTGTAAATGTAAAAACACGCACATATACACATACAAACCAACAAATGTTTTAAAACCTGCTGTGGGAGGGGACAAAAAACAACAAAAAAAAACAACAACAACGGAATCGTGCTCGAAACTCTTGTTATTTGTGTGTTGTTCTATGGCGAAATGTGTTTTCTGCTCTGTTTGACATCGGGCTGTTATTTTTTGAAAGTTTCTTTCATTGATTCGTAACGCCTCTCGAAATTTGGTCAATTCGGCCTGGCCAGTCCCTTCGGCCGGTCATATTCTGTGAATGTGCCAATATTTAGAAAGTGTCATTCTTCGGGGTTCAACGAACCGCTTCGGATAAACCACGGCCAGATCCACGCGGATTACGTATTAATCCGTTATCCTTCCCACTTTTTTTTTGTACAATCGGTTATCCGTTTTCGAATTAGACCTTGTTAATCGCAGCAGGAATGTCAATTAAACTACGTGTTTTCTAAAAATAAAACTAGGAAGAAAGGCAAGACCACAAATTAAATCTACTAATTTAGACTGAAACTGATTGTCTAACTGAACTGTATAAATCTTACTGAACAGTCTAAATCACTTTACTGTCCTAAAAACCAAAACAAAGGTGGAAAGTAACATCTGTATAAAAGTCAAATTCTGTGACACTTCTATAAAAAAGTTCTATAAAAAGGCAAGATATATATCAAATAAATCATATTAAAAAAAAATGACTTTCGCGTCTGGGCTTGATAAATTTATGATTCTAGTTGTACATATTTTGTTCTTACGGTTTTGGCCGACTGGTCTTGTAGTTGATGGACTGTCAGCATTTTGATGATATTATGATCTCAGGCTAGACCTGTTCTGACTGTGATCCTCGCGCAGTCGTCTAATATTCAGTTATTATTAGTGTAATAACTCTTTGTTTTTTCACTTTTTTAGTTTATTATGTTGGGCAAGGTCATATTATTTTTTTTATTTCAATTTAAGCCTTTAAGCCATGTTGAGTAGATCACCGTTATGATTAAATTCGTTTGAAGATTGGGATCTTTTCTTTTCTTTTATATTCCATATCTACCTGACCGAGCATCCCTATCTTCAAAAGAATTTAAGCTATATAGATTTATATTTTCTTTTTACTAAACTTGTGTTAAAAAGTTTCATGGAACTTGAATGGGGTTTATTTTAAACCGTGAACGTTATACCGCGATGGCCAAACTGTCTTCTTGGGGTTTTTACGAGCCCTTATATTGTACATTTAATATCATCCGGACTTGGAATGTATCCTCCTGGGTTGAATTTACACGTTTCGACCTCAACTGGTAGAACGAGAGTAGGTATTTTCAAGGCCGCCGTAGCAAATCGCATAGCCGGCTGTCATTATTAAATCGTTAGTCGGAAAAATCTCGACCCTTTGCCACCGACAGGTTGTTTTCACCTTCTTTCAGTTTAGAAATATGTGATGCACAGCCTGAATGTAAAGTGGCTTTAAATGCTTTGTCGACGCATTGGCAATTAAATATTTTTTTTTTACATAGTTATGCTTTTCTTTAATGCCCCTTGTCTGAATCATGAACAATTGAATTATAACCTTGGGTTAAGTGCATCCTGTATTCCAGTAGCATTGCGATTTCTTTTCTAAAATTACAAAACGCGTTGAAAGAAATATGGCTTTCCTTTACTTCTGACGTCTTTTCTAACTTTTTGATCTGTTACTGTTTACATAAATTGCCACAAAAGAGTAACAATTGCCTTAGTAACAAAATTTCTAAAAAAATGAGGCCAATCAATTAGGCTTGATCCTATGAAAAAAGTATTAGATTGTAAGAGAATTTTGTAAAATCGTAAAATAGATATATGGCAGTAGAATTTTTAGACTTTTATTAGTATGCCGTACACGTTTGTGTTATTGCCAAGTTGTAAATTTTGTTAGCCAATTCTCGATATGTTCTTGGTATTATTTTATAATAAATATCGTGCTTACAGACGTGACCAGTAAGGTAGCCAGGTCCTAAACAGGTTTAAATGTCACACAGTTCGATGATATAGAATCCATCTGAGTGTTTATTGTTTTTATAATTTGAATCTGGGAAATATTTTCTTTGGGTGCCTTTAATTTATTAAAAAGAAAAAATCTTTAATATAAATAAATGTACACTGTTATAAAACAATAGATTGCAGTTTTAAAAATATTATTATTTATGTAAATTATTACTGGGGGGCACAACCGGTTGGAAATGAGGATTACAGTCTTATATTGGGGGGCATGAAGTTGCTTAACAAAACGTACGTAGTATATTTTTGCGTAATAAGAAATAAATATTCTCAGGGTTCTCTTCACCAGGTTGCTCAAATCGAGTAAGGGATCAATTGTAATTTGATCTTCTTCGATCATTTTGGTCATCTCGCCATCTTCATTGGTGTGTTGCTGTATTGGGTCAAGACTCAACGTTAACAAAAGCGCAAAAATGGAATTGTCAGTTGCCTGCCGGCATTTCTTAATTTTTAGTAATAGGTCGGGGTTTCAGCAGGGTTAGGCATCAGGACATACCCACAACTGAACATGGCAACAAGTCGAAGAGCGTCTGAGAGACTAAAAAACCGAAGTTAGGTAGATAAAAATGATCGGAAAGAGGAAACTAAGTTCATCACGCCTCAGACTCCGAGAAGAAATGTCACAATTTTTACCTAAAAAAATCAAAGTACCGTACGATTTTTTGCGGAAAGGACTTAATTAAGATTACAACATTACTCCTTAAGGTTTTGTAATGGGGTTTAAATTTGCTCGTTCGCTATGCTCGATATGAGGATTAGTTAAAAAAAGTGTGTAAATCAAAATTTT